AAAGATGCATTAAAAAAAAGATGAACGTGTTGGAATACAGCCACAGAAAATGCTTTCAGCTTTTTGTGATTTAGGGTGTTCCAAAGCAAATGTGGCACTGTGGCTTTATTTTTAGCGGATACAGATTGCATGGTCTTAAAACAAGAAAACCAACCCAAAAGAACCCTATGTTCCTTCACCACACTTCTGGAAATTTGAGGGGAGGATGGTTATGTTGTTTGTGCCTAGCCTTCCAACGTGACCAACTTCCTTGGCACAACAGGTTTTGAATGCTGAAACATAAAGGTTCAGAAAGCAGATCAGTGAACTCCTGACGGAAAAATCTGTTGAGGGTTATTAAATGCAAAACCAGCACTCTTGCTGAGGAAATTGCTGACTCTCTAGTTCTTGAAGGCTGTAGTGGTGCAAACTGTTACTGCTTCTCTATCATGTTCTTAAGCATCCACCTTAGTAGTGGAGAGAGGAGACTGGACTAAGTGGATCTTTGATCTGACCCACTAAGCCTAGTCTCGTTATTTGCATCTTTGCCAAGCTCCATTTTGAATTTCCAGTCATGACCTCCTTGAATAGGACCAAGCCTGTTGCCTTTAAGAGGGGTATATTGGCCTGCTTTTCAGTTTTAAACTTAATACTTCCATGCCTCAGTTTTTGGAAGCTTAGCTTTGTGGAAAATAATGGTGTTTTCAGTGAGATGTGCCATTATTGTTGTCTTCAAAGAAAATAATTAGGTCATACATTTGGCACGCTGCAGCTGTCTTGAACATTTTTAAAACTAAACTGCTGTATTATGTAAATTGAAATGTTAATTTTAATTCTTTCCTGAAAATGTGATCTTTTATCCTATTTTGTGGTCTTCTATTACACAACATTAATGAAGAACTTAAATGAAAGAGTGCATTGCTGTGAATGTCCAATGGATCATTTTTTTTTAACCTGTTGTCACCATTCACACAATTTGAGACAAACTGGGTCTTTTATAACATAGTTGCTGGATCTGCTGATACTTGTTTTCTTATAAGGCTCACTAGAGTAATGCAGTTTGTCCTGCAGAGCTTTATGTGTATGTAAGGCTGAGAAACCTTCAGGGTTTACATTGCTGTCAGTGAAATAAGAATCTTCCAATCTGTCTGGGTAAGAAAGGTAAAGTCATTTCAAAACAGGTTCTATTTTCAGCTTCATAGTTTTAAATTCATTGCAACCCTATTAAGTTCACTTTGATAAGTGGAAACTTGAGGTTTCTTGGGCTTCTGAAGCACAGCTTTGGTTCTTAACTACAGGAAGAAGAGAGTTGCAGTTTTCTCAGTGTTGTCTTTTGTGTGTGTATAGATTGTTATTTCACTTTTGAGAGTTAGGAAATATACAATGATCAGTGTCCTAGCAGAGTGGATATTTTGTTATATTGACTTCTGGGGTGGTCTTATTAGCTTACTTAGGTGTTCCACTTTTGTTTTTTAAATAACTGGTTGAGAAGCCAGGAGGTTAATGTAGATGCATGTCAGTAAATCTCCAGAAATACATGTTTAGTATAAATGTTTTTTTTAATGTTGTAAAAATGGGACTTTTGAAAAACCTGACTTTTTTTTTACCAAAATTTTTATGCAATTTTTTTCTAAAGTGCTCCCAACTGTGCCCAAACTGTTTCGCTGTGATCTTTGCACATTTTCTACAGATGGCCTGGATGATGGGGTCACTGTTCTGGTCTAAGAGTCTCTTCAAAGCCCATGAAACTTAATTAGAATTTAAGGCTCTTTAATCTGTTTTCCAAACATATAATTTCAGTCATGTACATGTAAGTGAATTTTTACTGTTTGTAGCAAAACTTAAATCTTTAAAGCAAGGTGCAAGAAAAAGTTGGATTGTATATTACAACTTATGCTTGTTGTAAATCCCTTCTAACCTTTACAGTGATAATGGTCTTTAGTCTTCCAGCAAAGACAAAATATAGTCTCAAAAATGAACAGAAATATAAGCAAATTATTACTTTTTTTTTTTTTTGCCAGGGAGATGCATAATATGCAATTAAGCTAGCCCAGCTAAGTAGTATTGAAAAGGAGATCTGCTGCTGAACAATGTAAGGAAGGGGGAAGTATATATGAGAAGAATGCCATGCAAAGCTCAGGTTAAAGTTGTAGGGCACTTCTGGTGTCATGTACAGGTGGTATACATGATACATCTGTATCAGATGGTATTATCAGTTGACAAATTAGTCCCCCAAAATAACACAGTCCCAACCTGATAAGTTATTTCATATGTATGCTTGCGTGTTTACTTTATTTTTATATAGAAATGTATGTACTAAAACTTGATTGAAGTACCAAGTTTATTTGGACCGGGGTTGTGGGCTGACTTTTTTAAAAAATAAAGTAAATGTGCAATTGGATATACCTGAATGTGGTGCAGAATCACATGATATGGTTTAAGATATAATCTTACCTATTTTAGTAAGATGTGTAGACTTTATGATCTGGCATATCATTTTGTCTATATTAAAAGATCTTTAACAATATTAAAAGTATGATTAGTTTGAAGGAGCTTAGTAGCTCAGCAGTGATTATTCTTATAAATACTTCATTGTATGCTGTCTCTAATGGCATAATGAAGAAATTATTTTGATGGCTCTTTTAATTAGAGTTGTATTTACTGTTAAATTGTATCCTCTGGATAAGAGAATTGATTTGTTTTGCTATCTTTTGTGTTATTTTAACATTCAATAGCATTCTAAGTTTAAGCATCCAAAATAAATCCTCAATTAGGCATACTTTCGCAGTGTTATTTGTACATATGATCAGCAATTGCTTTCGCATTTTTTTTTTTCATTTTTTTTTGGTGGGCTTTGCTTTTCCTCACAGTATCTTGCTCATTCAGAATGGAATTGATCCTGTGTTAACTAGGTCTACAAGCTGCGGGTGTTGAGTCTAGGCTGGTTATTTGGACTCCCTCCATAGTCAGTGGATAAAGCAACACAAACAGTGTAATTAATCCTATCTGAAGGCAGGTATCTGAAAGTGAATTGTCTTTTGAAGAACCTGATCCCTTTTCACTGGTGATACAAAGAAGGTGTAGAAGCTGGTTTGGGATAATCACAAGCACCAGTCTGTTTCTTCAACGAATGCAGCCCCTAGGTGTAGCTATGTCTTTGTAGCAGCAGTTTGTGTCTCCTATTTTAGTTATTATGGTGGTGATACTGGAGGGAATTTCACTGGGGCTCTAGAGAGGGAAGGGTTGAATCACTTCATCCTTCTCTGCACCATCTTGGTCAGCTGTAACATGACAGTAAGGATTCCTTCTAGGTATCTATGGAGGATCTGTGGTTTTAAATAGTAACAGAATGAATCTAAGCCTGGATCAGTAGTAAAATTCTATAATCTGCATAACATTGTTTCATCAGATGCAGCTTGGTTGTTCAAGTGTGGGGAGGGAGGATGCAGGGAAGGAGAGTATAAAAGGCCGCTAACAGGAAGGTTTGAAATAATGCTATATGCTATATTTAACTTGTGCATTTCCTATTTTTTAGCTCACTTTTTACTTTTTGAAGTTATTCAAATGTTGTGCACGTCTTGCATAGGAAAGCAGTAAAAGCTATACCAACTTATGTACTATCTTGTGGAGCTTGGCAATGTTGCTCTCTCCTACTCCAGTTAACATTAGCAATTAACGTATTTTTATTGCGGGGAGGGTTTGCATTTTCCTTCATGCTTTGTTTCACAGGTACTTTTTAAAATGTCTTTTCTTAGCTAACTGTGCACCACCATGCCAAAATGGAGGGATGTGCCTGCGACCTCAGCTTTGTGTGTGTAAACCAGGAACAAAAGGTAATTCCTGTGAGGATACAGTCACGCAAGACACATCTTCCAGTGGAGGCCGGAGCCCTGCTGTTCCCCCGTGGCCCATACCGCAGCAGGCTGCCCAGCAGACCTTCTCTCAGAAGGTGCAGGTCCCACCGAAGGTTGGCCCTATGACTCAGATGGCATTTACCATCAAGCAGAAACCTCCTGTTGGGTTACCACAGCAAATGCAACCACAGTAAGTGTTTTCTTTGCTTTCAAAGAAGTCCAGTATGTTAGATTTATAAAATGTTGTTCCTTGCAAGTGTTTTCAAATAATCATACTTGGAAACTTACACAGATTTTTGGTTTTAAAGAGCTTTTTATTTTAACTGTCAGACTTCAGTGGATTTTTAAACTTCTGTTTCTTATGAGCCAGATCTCCTCACCTGAACAGAATATCCCTTAATATCAGTCAGCTTTTTTTTTTCCTTAGGATGCCAATGCTGTACTAATTTCAGAGGAGTTATTCCTAATTTACATGAGTGATGTCTTGCATTTAGCATAGAAGAGAGTCTGGTGTGGAATTTCAACACCTCACATAACTGAAGGGAGCAAAATTTGGCGCTTGTGTTGCGTTCTGGTTTCTTCTGTTTGCATTGTATTTTCTCTTTTATAGTAAGTGTGTATGGTTTAACTGCAATGGATACTTCTGCTTGCTTGCATTTGAGGTTCAGGATGTCTGTCATAGGTAACAAGGAAACACCCAAGAGGAGTGTTGGAGAATTTTTTTTCCACTTTTTCAGTGGCTGGTGACTTAGCCAGACTTTGATATTACTTTCATTAGTTTAAATACTTCAAGTGAGCCTGACATTTCTCTAATTATGTTGGTTTTATTAATGTGTCTGACCTTAACTTCTTTCAGGGCTGCCTTTGATATGGGGGGAGGGAAGTGCACAGGAAGGTAGCAATCAAGTTGAAAGTGGACAGTTTTAAGTGTCTGTAGTAACTACTGTCCTTCCAGTTTCAGGTGAAGTCAGTGACAAAAGGTGTTTCTGTCCTGTAACAGGTATTGCTTTTGCAGGTATAGCTGTAAGCAGGGTGCAGTCTGTCTTGCTTCTAGCCTCCAGAGCAAGATAATCAGGACTGGGAAATAAACTGTTTTCCTGTGCCCAAAACTATAAAAATGAACCCCAGAAGGGCAGTGTGTGATTTTAGAAGTCTGCACCCGAGTAGTTATATGGTCTTGATAGGAAAGTACATCCTGCTATCCCTCTCCAAAGCTGCATCTGAGAATAGAGATCACTGGGCACTGCCAATAATGTTTGGCGTTGCCTGGTAACCTCTTTATCAGGTTCTTTCCTCCTAACCCTTCCAATTCCTGTTTACTGTTGTTCTAGTTCATCTAACAGTGGAGCCACAAGCAAAACTGGGCTCGTACATGAATTTACCTCATACAGGAATTTACCTGGAGATCTAAACCCTAACTCTGAGCCCAGTTTCTTTCCTATCAGTGAAGCAAGGGTTACTGAAGTGACTGATATGAAGGGGAAATTACCAGTAAAATCAGCAGGCTTTTTTCTGGTCCCTCCCATCCAAATGAGCAGGACTGCTAATCCACAGCACCTGGCTTCTCTACTTAGCCCCAGAAAGTGCAGTGTAGCAAATCAGTACAAAGAGGCCAGACAATTCCTGTCTTATCAGTACTGACTACTGCAGAGTGTACTGTGTGTCTTTTTCTTTCTTCCTTCCTACCCACAGAAGCATTCTCAAGGAATTCTTCTTCTTGTTGTGAGAACGGCCAGTTGTCCGAACTGGGTAGTAAAATACACTTCAAAAAAAGAAGAAAAGAATGCAGTTTGTTCTTGCCTGCAAAAAATAAGTCTGTCTTCCATGCACTCTGAAACTGTGCTTAGAAAGCTTGTGGATGCCTCTAGAGAAGACTTATTTTCCATTATTCCTTCAGTTCAGGGATAAAGGTTCCTCTTGTATGAAAAGAGGAGATGATAAATTGTTATTCTTCTATGCTACTATGATAGTTGCCAGGCTATGATGCTCAGAGTATTTCTAGAGGGTACCTACACCATGTCATGCTTCACCAAAATATCTGTTCTTGCTTGCATGACACAACGTCCCAGATGTAGGGGAATCAACTTCAGACTAACAAAACCAATCTTCTGTTTTATCTGCTATCCAGAGTGCCTCTGCATGATTCCATAAGCAGTGTTAACCCAGGTGGGCGTTGTTGTTGGTGACCCTTCTCAACCTAAGGATTTTCTCTTGGATGTCTACCTGAAAAGGTGTCTTTACAGGACTGTTAGTCTTTGAGATCACATGAAGAGAAATCTGTTTCAGGCACCTTAATAATAGAGTGGAAAAATGGAAAACTGAGCCTTTGGAGTCATGAGAAAACTAGCTTACAACCTTGGTAGGAGCAGGAGATGGAGAGGAGCCAGGCTGTTTCACAAACTAAAGCAGCGTGTAAAGTGCAACAGAACAAGGTGGATGTTTAGATACAACTGTTAAAATGAGTGCTAGTAGTAGTTCTCATGTAGACTATTAGGACAATTTACAGGGCTGAAAGATCGTTCTGAGGCCAGGTCTCTACCATTGGCACAGAGCAAATGGGCTAGTTCCTGCTTGGTTCCTCTTTGAATGTCTTGTGATCTCGTGTGTTGTGTCAGGCTGTTCAGATATTTTTTTTCCCACTCCTAAGAAACATAGGGAAGACGATGGCAGGAGAGGAATCGGCCATTGTCAGTGTGATTGGTATGCTGATCTGGACACTGCTGCTATGCAGAGCTGTCAAGGACTGTTGAGAGTCAGGGCACAACCCAACCTAGAACACCGAAATAAGCTCTGAGACAAGGCTTGTGCCTACAGCGCTTTTGTTTTGCCATCCTCGGCCAGTTTTTTTTCTGTTCTGTATGTGAATGCAACTTTTCCAACTTCTGTCATTGAGATGTGTTCTTACATGTTTTCTTAGGGTCATGGTGGCACTGATATTTAGGAAAGCAGGAAATTAATTTATTTCTTTCCAGAGATTTTTTTTTGAAGAATATGGTGCTGAACAGAAAGAAACCTGGAGAGAGATTAATTTCCTGGAATATCCTGGATTTGGAACGCAGGCACTTAGCACTAGCTAGGGCTGTCATAGTCCTGGGCTGAAGATGGATATTATCAGGTACAAGGTCTCATCTCAGAAGAATGTTAGCAGAAGATGTAGATGGCTGTAATTGAAAACAAGTGGTGTCTCAGAAACAAAAATCTTCTTCTTATTGGAGCCTGTTGGGAATTCTGATCTCAGTAACAGACGTGCTTTGTGGTCCTGAATTCCTGTGATAGCTCTCCAGTAACTCCAGGTGTCCCTTTCACATCTCTTTCTCTCACTTGTTGGCAAGAGTATAGCTCCAACAGCTTGATTTTCTGCATGTACCAGCTGTGGGAGCACTATTTTTTCTTTTTTTTTTTTTTTTTTTTTTTTTTTTTAAAGGTAACTTTCTAGTACAGTTTTGGAAATGGTCACCAGAAGGAGTACTGGATCAACCAGCTGGAGCTCAAGTGTCACAGCATTGCTCCTTCAGCCTCTTTTGGAGGCAGTTGTTGATGAAATTTGAAAGTTTGCTTTTGTGTTGGGCAGAGCAAAGCTCATCAAATAAAAGTTGGATGCACAGACTTTAGGTGACAGATTTGGGCTTACTGGTGTGTCTGCACCTAGAAATGTTTCCTAAGAGGTCTCTGCCCAAACATGTATTCCTGGATCACTGGGTCTAGTCCCATGCTATTACAGGCAGGCATATCATCTTATTTTAGTGAACCTATCAACCTGTGTCTTAAAACTCTTTTTTTCCTTTTGTTCAAGGATGTAGTATTTTTTACAATAGTTCCCCAATTTTTACAAGTTGATGTGAGAGTAGCGTTAATCTCCTTATCTAGTTGAAATTTTCATTATTGCATATTGGCTGTTACTCTTTGTCTTTTTGCTGTATGTCTCTCAGAAGTCTGGCTCGGTCTATTCTCAAGAGGCAGTTGTAGATTGCAATATCATGTCCTTGAGCTGCCTTTTCTTAGAACTGAACAAACTTGCCTCCCTCAAGCTCTCCCCACAGGCTACGTGCTTCAGTCCCTAGCAGTCTTGGTGGCCGTCTGCTGGACTCGCTCCACTGCCTCAGTATCTTTCTTGGCTGGGGGAGGCCATAACTAGACGCAGTACTCAAGATGTAGTCTCACAAGTGCCAGGTAGAGGGAATAATCATTCCCTTGACCTGCTTGGCCATGCTATTGCTAATGCAGCCTAATACATGATTGGCATTCTTCAAGTGGGGACATGCTGCTTGCTCATGCTCAACTTGTCTGCCAGGACCTCCAGATCACTTTTTGCAGAGTTGCTTTCAAGATATTTCAGTGCCAAACCTGCACTGTTGCACGGAGTTTTGCTGTATCTCAGATACAGGACTTTGCCTTTGAACTTCATGAGCCTATTTCTCCAGGCTGTCAAAATCCTTCAGCTCTCCAGTATAAGAACCACTCCTCCAAATTGGAATTGTCTGTATAATTGCTGAGACTACATTTTTCCCCTTACGTGGGTCATTAATGACATTGTTGAACAATATTGGTCCCAGTATGGATCTCTAAGGAAAGCAGATGATTACCCACTTAACCTCCTGTGAGTTGGATTTTGTATCGCCAAATACCACCTGTTCAGTCAGGAAGTTTTTGCACCCACTTTATAATCCAGTTATCCATATTTCACCAATTTTTACGTAAGGAGACAACCATGTAAAATGCCTTGCTAAAGTCCAGGTTAAAAAGATTCCATCACACTCCTTTCATGCACTGAGCTAGTCATCTCATCACAGAAGTCAAACAAACTCCAAGCAAACAAAGCAAGAAAACTTTAACCCAAGCTAAAACTAGGAAGTCTGTGATGACTTCTTAACTTCTGAAAGTTGTAATTCAGTTGTTTTCATTCTCTGTTGGTCATGCTCTTTCCC